AATAGTTACGGGCAACTCGAATAATAAATTTTAAATGACCATTTTTAATTTTTATTCAGATTTGTTAAATACTCGAAGAATGATGGTTCTCTATGAGCATGGAGGAAACTTACCTAATTTTTCTATCTCAGAGGCTAGTTTAATGTGTTTTAAATTTTATCGAGGAATTGCAAAGTCAATGTCCCATTGCCTAATAGTGTTTCAAAGTCTTAAACTTTGTCGATGGAAACACTGGAAACACGATATTGCTCGATTTTCTCGAGCGACGTCGCTGAATCGCGACAGTTTACTAAAGAAATTAAATCGAAATTGAATCAAGCTTCGTTTTATCTATCAAATGTTCAATGCCACGTGCATGTCTTTACTCGCCGTTCACGTGTAGAAACGTGTCTCTAAAAAGTGCACGGTTCTAATTGTTCAGGAATCCGTGGCGTAATTTATTGTCGCGCGTTTCGGTTACTGCGAAACTCGCGGCAATTCGCGACACGTTTCCGAGCGGGGTTGTTTATCTGCCACGACAAAATTACATGTATAAACTTGTGTAAATACAGAATGGGGATGGGTGTCCACGCTGCTGGCACGGCAGCAGGTTGGGGCCAGGGATTACCTGGGGGACCACAGTTACCGCCGCACCATGCCACGACGGTCACGGCACCCCCAGGGGTGCAAGCCGCGCCCCCACCACCACCACCACCGGCACAAATGATGGCCTACCCGATGCAACAGTTCCAGGTAACCATTACTTTTCTCTAGTCTCCATTACTTTTTTTCCTAGCCGCGTGCATTCGTTGTGTTACATCTTGTCTACCCTTTATTCGAATCTCTACCTGTGTGCTCGTATCTTGCCTTGACATACGTGTGTGAGTGAGTGCGTGCGCGTGTGTGGATTCTTGCATCGAGCGTCGTCATTTTTGATCCATTCGTTGGGAAACATCATCGATCGACGAGAATCGGATTGACTCTGATGGGAAGAAAAACTATTACTATTTGGAGAATTACTATTTCAGTCTCAGTTGTTTAGATCGTTTTAAACAAGCGGAGAATACGTTGTACGCACTGCTTGTACGTTTCTATTTGTATGCAAAATTTGTGGTGATGGTTGCATTTAGACGTTCTGCCTCTTCAATTGACAGAGATTGCGAATGATTTGAAAAAGAAATGAATATTAATTAGTAACGATGTTAGATAGATTGTTGAATTGTTCGTATTGTACCTTTCAATCGAACCGAATGTTGTCCCGAACGAACGAATGAATCAAATTTTAATGACAGTTTTACGAAATCCAGTCTTGGCTTCTTGGTGTACAGTGTACAATAATTCATTGAGATGATTGAACGATGTTAACTGCGAAAATTTGTGTTAGTTTGAGTGGCTTCTCAATAGGATTGTTAAGTATAACTCCATTATCTCGATGAACGTGACTGATAAAAATCTTGTTGTTGTGTGTTTTTCTTTCTTTCTTTCTTCCTTCCTTTTTTTTTTTTTTTTTTTTTTTTTTTTTTTTTT